TGATTTGACCTACGTTGATTTGACCTACAATACCTAAAATACTAAAATATTAACGGTTCCGACCATCGAATCATTGCATGTGATATGTGGTTGGAATCAGCTCAATGAGTAGGTTAAGAAATTCACTTCTTAATCTGGATCAGCTAATATTCCTCCATGGTCAAAGAAGATAATTCTATTTAATTCAACTAAAGAAGATAATTTTTTAATCTACTCATTGAGCTGATTCCAACGATATATCATATGCAATGATATGATGGTCGGAACCGTTATAGATTGGGTAAGATTTTAACATTATAGGTATTGTAGGTCAAACCAACGTAGGTCAAATCAACGACTACGGTTTTAAAATTTTCATTTATCTAACTTATTGTTTTACAGTGTGCTTGAACACATTTTTATCAATGAAAGTATCATTAACATATTTGTTATGTTTTTGTTTTTATTTTTGACATTAGAGTCATTCAAATGTGATTCAATATTAATTGTTATTTTATATTTATAATTACATAATTTGGCGGAAAATTTCTGAAAGGTAGTTATCATGATTTCTACTGGCTAATTATTTTTAAAAATTTAATAATAAAATTAGAAATAATTTCATTCATTTTAAATACAATTATTTATTAATCAAAATTAAATTTACCGGTAAATTAATGAATACAAATTGACATTTTAATATCTAGAACTGAACCTTAACAAAAGCAACTGGCTTATCGTTGGCATCGACAATGAGCCGGGTATTATCCGGTGTTTTTTCCTTCTTGATGATCACCTTTTGGAGGTTAGGGTCAGAGCTATCGGATGTTGTCTTTCGAAAGGGAAGATTGAATAGGAGTTCCAAGTTTTTCACGTACTTCTCACGGGCCCCATAGTACGTACGTTGACTCTCCGGGTCCTTGAATACCAGCTCCATATAGCCGTCCCCGTCGTACATCTCTGGCCACTACTTCGGGCAAAACATCGGCCATTGGTTTACAGTTTACACAAACTTTTTAATAAAATACAATTATTTGGGAATATTTATTAATTATAAGAAATATATAGCAATAATAGTAATTATGGTTAATATAGTACTTACGCAATTTGCTTTTATATTCACTTTAAATATTATTTGTTAACAACATAAAAATTTATATAAATAATGAAAATCACCATCGTTATATTGATAACATGTTTGCGTAAGTACTATATTAACCATAATTACTATTATTGCTATATATTTCTTATAATTAATAAATATTCCCAAATAATTGTATTTTATTAAAAAGTTTGTGTAAACTGTAAACCAATGGCCGATGTTATCAATATAACGATGGTGATTTTCATTATTTATATAAATTTTTATGTTGTTAACAAATAATATTTAAAGTGAATATAAAAGCAAAATTTGTTGTGTGCTAAATTATTAATAAACTTGCTGCTTTTATACAAGATAAAAGCTTATTCACAACACAACTTTCAAGATTAGCCAGTTTAACTTAAAATTTTAGCAATAATTCATTAATTGCGATTGCTTTGTGTAATCATGATATACTATCATATAAAACTATTATAACATGTTAGAATTTTATTATATAATGAATATTTGTATTAAAAGGTATCCTGTATTGTAAATTATAGTACATTTGAGAGATAAAATGTGCCAGTGATGATCCTGATAATAAATTATACAAAATTGTTTCACTTACTATGAAATAAGCTTTATGATTTGAACAGTTTGTTATTTACAAAGCGTCAATAATAAACTTAATAAACTTATCGTGTCAATACAAATAATTGGACAGATAGAGTGCCAATAAGGGGCCATTCAATAAGTACGTACGCAAAAATTTGTCTAAAAATTGACCCCCCCTCCCCCCGAAACGCCCCTCGTACATAGGACTTTAA